TCAGCCCCAAAAAAGGCCAAATAAAAAAAACATAATACCCGTCGCAAAAAAAAAAAACAGAGCAAAAAAAAAAATCAGACGAAAAAAAAAAACCCAGACGCTGAAAAAGTAATTCATCATCACCCATAGAGGGCTTCACCCATAGAGGGTTTTCTTTTATCTCTCTCTCTCCATCCGCTTACTAAATTAGAGCGTAGACATGCATTCCAAGATGGTTAAACCGTCCAATCAAATGCTTCTCTATGAGAAGCATTTGTGTAAAAAATCTAGTTTTATTATGTTATTATTCAAAATGCAATAAGGAGAGAGCACGTTACAGTGTCAGACAACAGAGGCAGTAAAACATTTACTGTAAAACATTTGAAACCTATACGTAACTATTAGGTACGACACTTCATAGCAGAACCTATGTAGGCAAAAAAAAAAAACGTCCTGCAGGAGCATTAATTGTGTGTGTTTTTCTGTAATACCATAGAACAGAACATAAGAGAAGTACAGATAAAGGCTAAAGGATGAACAGAGCGTTAACTGAAAACAGTCTTCAGCATGGAATACATGCTCAAGGTATCATTTTTTCCACTATCTAGCACTTTAAAATGCAAAATACAACTTGTTAATTGCTAAAGAACGTATGTATAATGTCATTGTATGTAATGTAAGCGAAGGTGAACGGGTGGACCAGTTACATGTCATAGATAATGTTAATCAAACAAAGTTAGAGAACCTTAATAATCAAAAGCTTGGAAAAAACAAAACAACACTCTACACCAGTGGTTCCCACACTTTTTAGGTTCAAGGCTCCCTTAATATTTCAGTATTTCTCCAAGTCACCCCAAGTCAAAATTTTCTGTACAGCGCTGCGCTATAGTGTAATGTACAGTGTTGGTATTTGAAAGGTTGCTTGTATATAGTTAGAATGTTTTAATACAAGGGTGTGTTTGTATAATGTTTGCATTTGATTGCAGGGGTGTGTCTGAATGTAATGTTTAGTTTTAAATGCGGATGTACATTTGTGTGAAGTATTTGTGTTTAAGTGAAGAGATGTGTTTGTATATTTTTTTACAAGACACTCTCAGCTTAAATGAGTGAAACCGCCGTTTAGGTGATCTTCCCCCTTTGAGACACCGGCTCTGCTGCTGTGGACCGCCAAACTCCCGAATGGAGTGTAAGGAAATACTTCAAACTCCCGAACAAAGAATCAGTATCAATCCCCCCAAACACGAGACCAAGCTCCGTCTTGAGGGTAAAACAAGAATCTTGTTTAATGAGGACTACCTGCCCGGTATTTATGCAGGTCTCCCACCTGGTGGACACTCCCCTAGGGGACCAGATGGGAGACTGGGACAATTGAAGTACAGTGGCCAATCACAGTGGCTCAGGCATAAAACTCCCCTTTGTACAGGTAATTCCCTCCTCTCTATGCTGGAGATAATTGGGAAGAAATCCAATTATCTCTAGGGATAGAGGCAAATCGCCATTTTACATAGCATAATAAAAACACATAAAAATCAATAACTATAAAACTACCGAATGCTTTTAGTTCGAGTAACATATCCCCAGATAGCCTGGGTCTGAGCGCACATAACTACCGAATAGCGCTCAGACCCAATGCACACAGTTCAATCGCCATGGAGTCAAAGTCTTTCACACTGTTCTTTCGGTATACGATTGACTCCATGGGATGACTATCTGGGTTAAGTCCATTTGTGTAATAAAAGTCCTGAACGGACTGGCGTTTGCATGCCCACGGATAAGAAGGGCGGTCGGCAGTTTCAGTGGTGTTCGTTAGATAACGTGTCCGTTTTTAGTTCCATAGTTTGAGTGCCGAACA